CAAAGAACCGCCATGCTCAACAACCTCAGTAGTCTCACCTCACTCGATTCCGTCCTCCACCTCACCGCCGGCCCGCTCTCCGGTCCCGATCCTCCTCTCTCACCTTCACTCACATGCTCCACTCTCGCTACGCCTCCAAATCAGACCTCGATGCTTACTCCGCACACCCCGACCACGTCGCCGTCGTCACCAATTACGTCAAGCCTATCATCGATGACAATATGGCTGTCGATTGGGTCGCCAGTGGCGCCGGCGCCGTTAAAATTCCTCCGGGTTCGGCTATGAGGGTCACATTTTTGAAATTGAAGGAGGGCTCAGGGGAGGATGAGAGAAATGAGGTTTTGGGGGTGATTGGAGGAATCAAAGAGAAGTTTCCGGGGATTGAGCAGTTGAGTTTCGGGAGAACTTTTTCCCGGGAGAGCGAAAGGGTTTTCGATCGCCTCTATTGCTGTTTTCAAGGGGGTCAATGAATTGGAGGGATTGGATGCGGAATCGGAGGCGGCCAATAAGCAGAAGGATTTGGTTAGGGATAAGGTAGATGGTGTGGTGGTGCTGGATTACGTGGTTCCTTCGTCGCAGACGGCTAGCCTCTGAAGAAGGGTACAATTCTCTGTTCATTCAATTGTCCAGTTTCGCCAAGCATATTTTTATTGGCCATTTCTCTTTTATGCTTTACTGGACTGCATGAATGCTCAATGTCATTGTTGTTGTTGTTGTTGTTTAGGGTGATATTAGACTTTGAAACTAGAATGGTGCTAATAAATAATGATGAGAAGAAGATGAAGTGTTCAGTTTTCATATTTGCTGCTATGTTACTTTTGCTTTCAAGTTACTAGTTCTATTTTGCATTTTTTTTTTTTTAAAAAAAGGAGATCTGTTCTTATTATTACTTGTTTAAGAGTATTTTTCTTTGGTAATTTTTACTAGTTAATCCCATACAAACACAAAAAGGGGTGTCATTCTTGATTGGAAAGAGAGTTCTAACATCCTCCATGCATCACCATTTTGCAACACAACAGTCTTTCTGGGCCTAATTGAAAGATTTCAAACAGAAGACTTCCAGGCACGAGTATACAACAACGATAGCAATTTTGCAATTTTTTTGTGTCTTGAGCCCTATCAGCCTCCTCTCCTCAGTTCGATTTCTGTCATGCAAGTCTACCGCTCGATCACGAAAAATTGTTTGTTAAGTGAAGTGATGCTGTGCAACCAATGACAGCACAACTGACAAATTTGAAAGGGGTGGTTTGGTTCAGTTTCACACTCAACTAGTGCGTGCCTTGCTCTGTAGTAGTAGTAGTAGTAGCATCCAGTAGAACTGGAACTACTTTTGAAGTTGGTCATTTCATCTTGTGCAAGGATGATGATGATGATGAAAAGAAGAAATTAATACATACGGTTCAGTCTGTTCTCTCACAGGCCACAATGACTGAAGATGACCACATTAAACAGAGAAAACTGCGATAGATACACTTTCAAGTGATTTCCAAGTGCCAATGCCATCCTTACCCACCTTCCCTCGCCCTGCCCTTTTATCGCTTGTCAAGTGATGTCCATCCTGTGCTTTTCTTCAAGTCCAGACCTGTATGTATCCACAAAAATGTCAAGCCTAAAAAGTTGGCTGGTGATTGTCAATCTCTTCCCTAAAGTACGACCAACAGGTGTATGGCATTGTTCCTTTTGCGGAACTACATTTTAAGTGTGCAGATGATATATCCAATTTTCCTTAGTTAACAGGTCTGCCTCTCTAAAACATAATGCAGTCTTTCATTCATTATTGACCACTCGATATATCTATGAGCTATCAACAAGAAGGAGACCAAATCTGCTAAAGAATTATCCCAAAAAAAAAAAAGAAAAGGAAAAATCAAAACGCAGTTTTAAAGAACTTTCAACTTTACCCTAACCCAAATTTCTGAACGTCTAGGGGCGGCTGATGGAATGGAAGCAAATTTTGATTTTTCAGTTTTTTTTGAGATTTGACTTTTGTGGGATTTGCTAGTAATTGCTTGCTTTTCACGTAAAAGCAAAATTCTTCGATCCATGACTTTTCTTTCATCATCTATAACATGAACTAATAAAATTTACACTAGCATTCTTAGATGCATGCCAAGCATATAAAAAGTAAAATTTAAATTCGAATTGAGAAAGGGATACAAGTATGTAGCGTTTCACTTAGCTTATTTGGACCCTCCCGCAAGATCATTAAGCAGTCAAATAATGAAGATGCGAAAGGTAGTGGTAGTTTAGTTTGACAAGGAGGAAGAAAATTCTTGGAAGCGCTCGATCAATAGCAACTATCGTTGATTAATTTTCAAACCGATGTTTCAGAAAGGCACCAATATAAATATCTAATTGGAGAAACCATAAAGCATTCAACAGAACCAAGAACCCGGTAGCTGAAAATTTTTAACCCAATGGAAGATTTGAAAATCCCCTCCCTAAAAGTTGCTTCTCTACTCCTGGCGAGCTACTTCTTTCTGAAAGTTTTTTACTCCATTTGGTGGAAGCCAAAATGGTTTGAAAGGCACTTAAAACAGCAAGGAATTAAAGGCCACCCCTACAAACTTCTGATTGGCGACATGAAAGACTTCATGAATCAAATTACTGAAGCATGGTCGAAACCAATGAGCCTCTCTCATCAGATTGCACCACGCGTCGATCCCTTCACTCACAACACAGTTCAAAAATATGGTAGGTTACAACTTACAATGGAAATGTATCGTTACAAATTGCAGTTTCCTAAGAAGCGTTTCGCATGCATGCAGGGAAGATATCACTGTGTTGGGCAGGGACAACTCCAAGGTTGAACATTACGGATCCAGAGATAATAAAAGAAGTGCTAGCTAATAAGCAGGGTCACATTGGTATAACACCGTTTGCGTTGGACCCTCTTGTGCTCACTCTTACAGAAGGATTGACACTTCTAGAGGGTGAAATATGGGCTACTCACAGGAAGATAATGACTCCGGCATTCAAATTGGAGAAACTAAAGGTAATTTTCAAGCCCTTATCTCCAGATATCATTTTTAAGATGGTACTAAGAAGCCTGGGATGTATGATTTAACAGTATGGATTCTCAAATTAATGTTGTGTCAAAATAGGGAATGATATCAATATTTGCAGAGAGTTGTGTCTTGCTGGTAGAAAAATGGAAGAAATCAATTGCTCTTGGTGGAACCAGCGAAATAGATGTCTGGCCTGACTTTCAGGAGCTGACTGGAGATATTATTTCTCGGACAGCATTTGGAAGCAACTTCAATGAAGGAAATCAAATACTAAAGCTTCAGATAGAGCTGCAAAGTTTGGTTGCTGAAGCCTTGCAAAGCTCGTCCATACCTGGCCTTAGGTACATTACCGTTCACATATGAGCTTGGTCTTTTTCAGTCACTGTCGTTAGGCATTGCAAATATACCTAATGGCCTCATTATGAGACAATTCTAAATTGTATGATATCCTTACCATACTAATGAACAGATTCATTCCAACCAAAAAGAGCCAGAGAAGAAAAAGTTTGGACAAGAACATTACTTCAATGCTCAGGACTTTGATTGAGAGAAAGAGAACCCTGATGAGAACTGGACAAACAAATTCAGATGATCTACTTGGCCTACTCTTGCAGTCTAATGATGAAAACAGCCTGCAATCTAGTCCACATAACAAAAATGGTAACAAGATGACCATCAAAGAAATAATAGAGGAATGCAAGCAGTTCTACATAGCCGGTCGAGAGACATCCTCAAGCTTGTTAACATGGACGATGGTCATCCTGGCAATGCACCCAGACTGGCAAGAGAAGGCAAGGGAAGAAGTTCTGACAGTGTGTGGGAAAGAGCATCCTGATGCTAAAACTATAAGCCAACTTAAATCCGTGAGTACTGCTCTTTACTTCTTTCAGACATAGTAGCTAACTTTTATAGAAGTTCCAGTTCATTTAATACTGAAAAATCACTAAGGTACTTTAAAACTACGTGTTCCTTAAACATCCATTGGAATGATTGTAGTAAATCGCTAAGATATTTGTAAATACTTTTTGTTGAACATCCTCTGAGCTGATCATAACTCAGTTATAGGAACCAGAGTTAACTTCCAAAATGGCCTTCATGCAACACTTGGATGAAGGTCATATTGTAAAACTCATCAAAGAAAAGCAGTGGTAATTGACAAAGAAAGGTTTTTAACGTGGTTCTTTTTTCAAACGCCAACTAGAGCAAAATATTCAAATGGAAGTAATACCAAGACCATGCTTTCAATTCCTTTTAATAGAAAATGCTTCATGTTCAATCCATTCCCCGTAGTTCTTTTCTTTCCTTACTTCTTCCTACGCCTAGGAAGTGGAGACATGAACTGTGTTTATTTGAGTTGTGGAAATTTTTACTCAGACTTAAATTAAATATTTACTGATCGACCTGTTTTCATTAGTTAAATAGTATTAGCTTATGACATTTGGTGCTAATGATTGGGAATATTTACAGGTAACCATGATTCTTCATGAAGTCCTCAGATTATATCCGCCAACTATCGCTCTGTATAAACATACATACCAAGAAACAAAGATAGGAAATCTCTCTCTTCCAGCAGGGGTAGATCTTACGCTGCCCTTATTACTCACCCATCGTGATCCTGAGCTATGGGGCAGTGATGCAGAGGAATTTAAACCTGAAAGGTTCTCTGGAGGATTATCAAAGGCTTCGAAAAATCAACTAGCATTCTTCCCTTTTGGGTGGGGTCCCAAAACTTGCATTGGCCAACATTTTGCACTGATGGAAGCAAAGGTAGCATTATCCATCATACTACAAAATTTCTCATTCGAGCTCTCGCCATCCTACGCTCATGCCCCCAATACTGTCATGGCTCTTCAACCCCAACATGGAGCTCCCATCATATTAAAGGAAGTTTAGATCGCGACTCAGGACACTGAAGCCCTAAGATGTTCTCAAAGACCTACTAAAAAAGTAAGAAATGTCATGCCGTGATTTATGTCACCGGAGAAATATTTCTCAACAAAACCGTTTACTGATTTTTTTTATGATCAGAATTTCTGGGCACGCAGAATCTCGTGATTCTGACAATTTGTGATTATTCATTTCCTTGTGTAAAAGTAATTCTGAAATTTGTTTGTTTGTTTGTTTTACATCATGAATGGATGTTCTGACCCCAACAAAAATCCATTTTAAAGGATGAAATAAATTGCTCTGCAAAAGAACATGGCTTAACAAGTGGATATACTACAAGTCAGCCATTCCATCTAACATCGAGTCCACATCTGGGGTTATGATGACACGCTTATCGAGCTCCCCCAAAGTACAACAATGCTTTTCTTCATCGTTAATGGCAACAACATCTTGTGCAAATACACAATCCAAACCTACCGAAACCTGCATAAATCATCAAAATATCATACATATTATAATTGTTTCTTCTCTGAGTATGTTGTTTACAGCAGCAAAACCATTTCCAGTACTTAACATAAAAGAAATAACATTTTTCCTTTTCTTTTTCTTGCCTCGGAGAGGTTAAGGACGATGACAGAGCATTTTTATGAGTTACATAGATAAATTCCATGTTATATCCATGAAACATGCCTACTTACATCATAAAGGTTGTCACCAAGCTTCAGCTTGACAGCACCACTCCTGTAAACTAAAATTTTACCCATAAATCCTGCTGGCAACTCATCCAAACTACAGGACTTCTGCAAAAGTTCTCCACTCTTTGTTGTTTAGAAGTATCTGCCATCTCACTGCCAGCCGTATTAGGTAATTGCTTTACCATAGGCATGCTTGCAGTAATTGAAGAAACAACATAGTTTCCTTTCCTTCCTGCAAAGTACTCCATTTTCATTATGCCCATCATTCTAATAATAGTAACAATGTAATTTTTGTATAGCATTACCAACCGTTAGACCAAGCTCTACAGCAGCATTTGTGGAGCATTCATCATAGTTCAAGCTTTCTGAGGCCTCATCAAATTCCTCTTGATCAAGATGTTCTGCATGTCAGAGGAGCAAGATAATGTATAAAAGTACCTAGGAAGGTTGGTAACTTCCCCATTTATAGAAGAGGAAGAAAGCACACAAGTCCACCTCAGTGCTCATGAGATGTTATCATTACCCAAACAACAGCAGACCAAAAGCTTAGTGAGCAGAGTGGTCCATGCTCGTACAATTTTAAGAAATTTTCTGACTAGGTTAAAGCACTCTCATTAGGTTACTCCTTGAAAGTCGAAAGGCATTTTATCCAAAATGATTACCTGGATCCCCGAGTATGGTCTCCTTAAAGGAAGTGTTACAGGATAATTGGTATAATAATCCTATAATAACACAAGCAGAAGAAGGCAACTCAAGAAAAGAGTATGATAGACAATATCAAAACTTCAGTGTGGATAATCAGTCTTAGAACTTGAATCATAAAGAAACTGCATCAGCTGCCACCTACCCATGGTTCTTTGTATTCTTTCTGCACCCTACGCATAGCACCTCCAGCTGCAGAAATGCAGATTAAAGTGAAATGCAGCACCAAGCATCATTATAGCAGCATATTCACACTTTAGAAAAGCACTTGCCATTAGGATATGAACTATGATGTGTGCTTACACCCTTGGGAGCACCATATGACCTCATTGAAGGTGATGAGCCTCCATAGCCAAATGCCACATGTGCCGGTCCAGCTTCAAAAAGGAAGAAAGGATTTAAGCAATGTTGGTTCAAGAGCTTAAACATATATAATCTCTTGACAGAGGATGCAGCAATACAGAAATAGTCAATCTATGCAAGTATGCAATCAGTTTGAACTTCAAACCAGAACCAACGTGGTGATAGCAGAGCAGTCGTGAGAGAGGATGTTTAACATTTTCTTGATTAATTGTACTACGGTCAGCTTTGTACTAGTGCTTTTCAAATGCAAGGGACACAAGAAAGTGCTAAAGAAACTTAATTGAGGCAAACAAGCTTTCAACACGTTTCTTCGCACAATTCCAACTCATAAAATAATACTACAAGGATAGTACGAATATCATGCTTCCCGTAAATTATGCTACATTACATAAATATCCTGCAAATCAATGACATGAAATAAATAATCAAAGCCAAGAAAAAACAAAATCAATAGAAACAAATGAAAGGAGCAGCTTTTCCATTTGGGATTTCAAATAAAAAAAATATACCGGATTACAAACGTCTCACTTCTACACTTCGAAAATGCTAAAAGAACAGCTTACGTACTTTTCCTTTCAAATTTAGGCTTTGCGTTGACAGAAGATTCCTACATATAACGAAGCAATCATCTTTCATAAAACAGAGCACTAACAATGATGATTTAACCAACAAAACTTCCTAACCATGAAGAATCAAACAACTGTGATGGGAGAGCACAAATACATTAAGCCGGCGTAATAGTTCCTCAGCCTGAGCAGCATCAACGGCATCTTCAACCTTCTCACTGAAACGATCAACAACATTTTGATACACAGTGATGCGAAAAAAAGTCGCAACCAGCACGAATTTGTAATATTCAATCCAAACACAGTATCTTGCTTTATGATAAAAAGACCGAGTTTTTACACTTTGGTGACGACAGTCTTTTGGTCTCTGCGTGGAGGAACTTTTGGTGCAAACCTCACCTACATTAAATTCCAAACCAATCTTTTTTTAATCAAAACCCGCGTTGGAAATCATCCAAACTTGGGATTATTTAGAATCTTAAGAAAGGCTACTTATATACCTTCCTAGGTGCATTGGTGGCCGTGGTTGCTAAAGAGTCTGGATCCATGACAAAATCAATAATCAGATGATCAAAAAAGTTAGGAGCAGTCACGTTATTGTTGGTGAACTCTTTATGTACTGCGGAGTTGAATGTAGTTTGGGATACACGGCAAGCTGAAACTAAAAGAGCGGTTGTGGAGGCTGAGAAAAAGGAGAACGTGGAGGTTTTAGGCGTCCTGCAAAAAATAGTGTGAATACTAGAGGATGGTCAGTCACGGAGGCTTAGGGCCTTAGGATTTTAGGCCCAAAATGCTTTATCAAGATCAATGCAACTAAAATATGAATTTTAAGTTTTTTATATAAGGCTTAGGGCCTTAGGATTTTAGGCCCAAAAAGCTTATCAAGATTAATGCAATTAAAATGTGAATAAGTTTTTTATATGTACAAAAATTTTTTACACTAGTAGGTTTAGATCATATACATTCAAATCATGTACATTTTACATAAAAAAAAAAAAATCACTATACTATCATAATGTAAAAAATTAGCTCTTAAAGTATGCCAGCACAATTTTTGATGATTATCTTTAACGAAAAGAACTTAGTGAGGTAAAAGAAAGAATTAAAAAAAAAACAAGAATGGAGCTCGTGGGGTGGCAATATTTTGTTATCCTCCTAATTCAATATGTTATCTACAAGTGTTAATTTAACTTTTCAACCGCGCTGTGATCATTATTTGACATTCACAAACTAATAAGTTTAACTTGAAACTCTGTGATGGAAATCTTGTGTGGACCATTATCAAGCCTTCTCTTCTTGAAAGAAGATATGATATAACGTGCCATGGAGAAGAGATCGGTCATTCATATTTTCAATTTTTTAACTCTCAGACTCTTTAACATAGGCTCTTTTCATAAATCTAACATTTTTTTCATGGTTTTAACTCTCAGACTTTTAACATAGATATGTTGAAAGCTTTCTCACATTTACTTGTGCTCTTAACTCGTAGAGTTCGCACTCAAATGGCGCATATTTCGGAGTCAAAACGAGCTTTTCACTTGTTTGGTCTCGTTCAGCTATGACAATTCTTTTTTGGTAGAAAGCTATTTTACCTAGATACCAACCACAAAGTTCTTGGAACTTGAGAGAGGATAAGTCACTTCATTTCTTCGGATTTAGCAAAGATCAGACGGTTTGAAGGTATGATTCTTGATCTAGCTTGTTTTACCCTTTCCCGTGGAAAGTAAGATGCAAGAGCTCCCAGCTACATGTAGCAAGGCAAGATGGATGCGTGAGTTTCGAGTGGCCTTCAGATCCAGCCTTCATTGAAAGTTGGAGAAAGAAGGCGTGATAACCCATGGAACAAACTCAAGGTCATTTGGGAGTGGGCCGTTTTGAAGTACACCATGATTATGATGTTGCCAACCACTGGATTTCAGCTTTTCTGTATGATAAATTAATTAAATATCAGAAAAGAAAAGACGTGATATCAAGGGAGCACTAGAAACTGCCAGATAAAGATGCCTATTAGTATTAAACTCGTATCCAAAGTCTCTAATTTCTAGCTGCTTGTGCCGATTGAGCCGTGGCTATCATTTGAGCCATAATACTAGCATATTTGCTGCCGTGTGTTGTGAACTGTATTCATCTGACAGGCCATATTCTGCAAAGTTGGCTCAATATGCACAAAATGACCCGGCAAGGATCTTTTGAGAGAGCTTCCTGCCATATATCAAAGAACTCGCCCATGATTTGGTGTGATTTTTCCCATGATGAAATAGGTAAATACTCCATCTGCCAAAAATTTTTTTTAAAAAAAAAAAGGAAAAAGAGAAAGAAAAAGAAAGAAAGAGGTCATGGTTACCAACATATCTGTCATATCAAATTCATTGCTGATACACAAACCGCATCGTATAAGATGCAGTAAACATGAAGTTCTGAAGCATTTAGGACAGATAAGATATTCACCACAAAAAACAAAGATATTCATAGCATATGAACTACGAAATGCTAGCAAAAGACACAGAAAATTTATTAGTACAGAAGCTAAAAGTTGGCTTCTTTTCAACAGTAAAAAAATTTTGACCACTTTTCAATTTCTAAAAGGCACTGCTTTGTTTCGGACAAAACTTACGAGACCTATGATGTAGATACTGAAATATCATTTCATAGTAATTAAGCATTCATCAATAATTTCTTGTTGTGTTTTTAATTTTCTTACTTATGATGCTTATAATTTGAGCCCTAACTGTATGGTCCAACTCAGATCAGTGACATCCAACATTTTGCTCGTTGCACTCTGCAAATTAAGATAACTACTAGGCTCTGATGCATCCCTCTCTCATGCGCTCTAACTTTGTTTTTGTGGCTTCTATTCTAGCTGAGCTATGCATTCATAGGTTGGTTATTGACCAGTGCAAGAAAGATGCAAGTCAATGTCTAGATTTTACTAAGTGAAAAGTCACAGGTCAAGAGCTTCCTAATGTTTTTATTGTTAATTACTCAGAAGACTAGCAGTTCTTAATTTTATTGTGATAACTAGTAATTCGTTCATCTTGTCTACTTTTTAGATGATTGAATTCTGGTGAACCACAATTCCTAATTTCAAGTTCTCAATTATTAATCAAAAGATCAAAAGTAGAGCAAAGAGTTACGCCACAACAATTTCAGAATTATTGATCGTTGTGGAACTCAACCCACAAGAATCATCAGCAAAATCAAAATCTTTGAGTTAACTCTCTTCAGAGCGAAGATTTCACACTTATTTCTCAAAAAAAGGAAAAATCCATGACAAATCCCCCAACCCCCAAAGTCCAAACAGAAGGAAAATATTAACTGGCAAAACCAAGCATTGTGGGTCAAAGAACAGAAACTTAAGGAGAACATCAACAACTTATCACTTTAGACGACTTTAAACTTCGATCAAAAGTGACAAACAGCAAGATTGTTGTACAGTAAAGTTCATTAGCTCTATAACAACCATACTTGCAATTCTAAGTAGAGCTAATTACCTCCATAACAATTCCCTCAAACTTTCAGAGTGGATTGGAACAACTTTCCCCACACGTAACTGGAAGTCTCCTAGTTGATACTGAAAGCCTGCATTTATTACAGTCAATTGTTTAGTGGTAAGTATACAAGACAAATATGTATGCAATGTGCTCGACAAGGTTGAGGCATTTTCAACTGCAAGCTCAGCTCCTTATACTGTCAATGGTTCAATCTAACTAGTTAATCATTCAAAGCAACCTCCTTTACTGAGCACACACAATTGCACAGCTTTAGTTGGCCTAGAAAATGGCGATGATAGAAAAAATGGAATCAAGCTTCAAAATTGTAATGCTGGAGGAGCTTTCTAATGGGGTGGACAAAAATAATTTTGCTCTGTAACCTAATACATATTTGCATGAAGATCAGTCAGATACAAGAAAAGACCATTCAAGTTCTTGAACTATCACGTATTTTTGTTGCATTCTTTTTAACCATTCTGCAGTTAAACTTTGCTTCAACCATTTGCCTATCCCTCTCCCCCTTCTCCATTCACCCCACCCCCCCCCTTCCAAAGTCATGTAGTGAATATGTCTATCAAGACACAAAATTTAAGAGCAGATAAAATAGTGAAAATGAATATCTTAAAGTTGACAGACCTCAAAATTAAGCGCTACCCTTGTTTTGTATGACTGCAGTTTTCCATAATTGTCTGAATTGTAGAATCTGCTCAACAATCAACCTGCCCCTCTTATCACAAGGTTAATACTTATTGGCTGCTCTTGAGTGAAATCCCCAAAAAATCACAGGAAATTCCATCGCATTCGCTTGTTCTACCATTTATGAACCACGAAAATATCAGAAATCTCAAATCCCAACCCAATAAAAATAAAAGAGATAATCGAATCCGCAGCTCTATTTATAACGTCACCAACGCGAAATAGGAAATACAACAAAGAGAAAGCCCTTAAAAAATTACCTCTAACCATGGGTTTATAAAAGCTGAGAGTAGCTTTCCACCTTCCTTCCTTGACCCGTTAATGCCCTCCACACACTGAGACACTTCTGTAGAATTTGGTGTTCACTGTTGTGCCTGGATTAGGCTGCCAGTGCAAAACCCTAGAAAACAGCCAAAACAAAAAATAATCAACATTCAGTTTGATCTGCAAAAGCTTCAGTCATGGTATATAATCTTTTGTGCACTACAACAACATCCAGTGAGTTACCAATTTAAAACAGGGAAGAATGCTAGTTCATACATGGGATTTTTGCTTACCATTTGATGGCATGGCGGAATCAGTATTTGTTGCCTGAAAGAATTTGATCCGTTAATAATTTCTTGGGCTTTTTTGCACTTTCTTCCACCGAGTTTAGTGAGAACAAAATTACATCGGGCTATGGGGGTGGAAAAATGTTGAGCGGACAACCCGAGCCAACTCAAATACTAGCTTTGCCTTTTAAGGGTCTGTTTGATAACATAAAAAGTGTTGAATCTGAATTTTTTCAGACATTCATATATTTTGAGTGTTTGATAAATAAAAATCTATTTGCTGAACTTGTTAAGCAGTACTGAACTTATGTGTATTTTTTTCAACACAAGAATTTTAACTGAATCTTAATGCTGAAGAATCAATAGAATTACTTCAACTACCTTATTTGTCTACCAAATCTACGCTTTTGTTAATTATGTTCAAAATTCTTATCTAATTAAACAATCTAATATTTCTATCTAACGATTTTTAGTTTCTCTTTTCTCCCTTTTAATGACTTTCACATTTTCTCCATACTCCTCATTAATATATTTCATCTTATATTATATTAATTTAAAATAAATATTGTCATTTTCATACCTAACAATTTTAAACTAATTAAATCATAGATTCTATTCTTTTTTGAATGAAATGATATAAGGGCAAAATTGTCAAATTAAATTTATTAAGCATTCAGCTATAAATATTTATCAAACAGTATAAATAGGTTTAGCATTAAAATTCAAACATTCATATATTTTTTTCAGTACTTAAAATTCAACAAATTAATTGTTTCAGTATTCAGATTTCAGAATTCAGACTGCAGAATTCGGATTCAGTTTTATCAAACGGAATCTAACTAGTATTGAGTTCGAACTCGAACTTAGATTAGCTCGATTGGAGTTCTGCTGATTTGTTGAAGTTCAGTAGAGTTGGCACTATCGGTATGTCCTAAATTCGAGTTTCACTAACCGTCAATTTATTCTCATTCTCACTGAAATGTGATAATAGTTATTTATCCTATTATTACGAGTTACCAGTTAATACTGTAGCAGTGTTGAGTTATCATGCATGTATTATTGTATTGATTCTATCATGTGAGTTATTTGGAATTATTATTATAATTAAAAAAGAAAATATTATTTGCACCCCTTTTTCTGTTATTTGTATTATCGCTATTCATCTTATCATATATAATTTAATAAATAAAAAGTATAATTAAAATGATAGTGGAAATGTGATTAACAAAAATCGAGCTAAATATCATTTCTCTTCAAAAAAATAGATATACATGTCATTTGAGTGTGAATATATGCACACATTGACGGATTTGAGTTCCAAGTATGAGTGGCAACCAAATCTCTTAAAACTCAATCTACAAATGATAATTGTTCATAAGCCATTTTAAATTGATTGCAATTCCAACGACATTATTAAGGAAGTAATGAACCACAAAATTATATAATAATTATCTAATGAACATGAATCAATGTAAAATTATACCATTCCAGTCACTATATGAAAATATAAAATTTATTATTGAATTATCTAGAGTTTGCTGATTGAAGTTTTGACAAGATAAAAGACAAAAACAAACAAGTAATAAAATGATTAAAATCTATGGACACACGAGTGCATGAAGTTACTCCTATAAATTAGAATTGGATATCATGTCGAGACATTTAGCAAAAAAAAAAAAAACAATAAATCATCCGAGACCGGGGCTTGTTCAACCGTTTGAGTTATTAAATTGGGTTAATTAGCCAAACACATTAACCGAAACTAGAAAGCGGCTTAGTTTGGGAGTTTAGGATAGAAAAGAAAAGAAGGAAAGCTTAAGTTACGAGAAGAGAGAAGAGAAAGAAGAGATTGTTATGTTTTTGGGATTGAGAATTAGTGGAATAATTTTATATTATGGAAGTCATTAAATATTTATTCAAGGCATTTTTAAGATAAAATAGACATTTTAAAAAAATTAACGAGCTTTCTTCCAAACTTTCTCTCCATTTCTTTCCAATTTGGGAGGAAACATTTTTGTCACCATCATCCTCTCATTTCCTTTCTTTTCTTTCCAACTTAAAACTATCAAACAAAGGAAAATCTGTCTTTCTCTTCTTTTCTCTTCTTTTCTATCCAAATCATTCACTCCCAAATGAAAATCCCCATCAACTAAAATCCCCGGTCCATGCCCCCTTGTCATCCCTGCTCCTGTTAATCACTGATACTGATAGTGTTCTAATTTCTAAACGAAATCCTTCACCGGCACATATGTCCTGATTCTTGAGGTTTTGGCTTTCACTTAAATCAATCTCCACTCCACTCACTCACTCACTCACTCCTCGCTCCTCCTAGGGTTCTAAGCAATCAGTAATTTCCTTCTTTTCAATTGAATTATGGTAACATGGCAAAATTGATCCGACAGCAAGTAGAAATATAGTGCTGATATAGAAAAATCAATATACCGATCAAAATGGCGTGTGTGTACATTCCGGTGCAGAACTCGGAGGAGGAGGTTAGGGTGGCGCTGGACCAGCTTCCCCGCGACGCCCGACATCCTCGACATTCTCAAGGCCGAGCAAGCCCCTCTTGACCTCTGGCTCATCATCGCCGTATGTAACACAAGTTTATTTATTTAGTTATTGTGTTACAAGTTTCTCTGTTTAGAGATTGAATTCTACTTTTTCGAGTTTAATGTCAGTCATTCGATTAGCTTTTCTTCATGCAAGTGTATGTGTTATACCTAGAGTGTGTCAAGGGGAATAGGTTATATCCGATACCAGTGGTGACGATGAGAGCTCAATCCTGGCAGTGGCCCAGGAGAAGGATAGTTTGATAAAAGGTTGGGGTTGAGTTCAGGTAATTCAACAATATCTGTCAATTCTTCCCTCTCTTGGACATTGTTAATCAAGGAAAGGTAATCCGGGTCCGAGGAGAAGTCATTCTCTTAGGTCTTAGACGCCTATAAATAAAAACTGTAAGGAAAAAGAGGCCTTAGGACCTCGGGGGACAGGGACAAAGAATTTCATAGAGGAACACCAAGGCCTGACTGACCTCGATCAAATGTCGATGCTTACACTCAGCAGTGTGTCAAATAGCCTTTGTGTTGATCCCAAACCCTTTCAATCACCGAGGTAGAAGAAGGGTGCTTTTTTCGGTTAAGATAGATTATGGAAAAAATCTTTTTTTCTTTCAATAGGAAATTAGTTTGACCCTTTATAGGGGAATTATTCTATAGAAAGAACCTCTTGTGCGCTAGCATGGGCTGCTCGCCTTCTTAGTTATAAACTGCCAATTAGAGGTGGCAAAATGGATATATGGATCATAATTGGTTTCATATAAATGGATCATGGATTAAATGGTTCAATCCGTTTAAATCCATATAATAAATGGTTGTATATAAGATTGGATCCAAATGGATGATGGATATCCAACTATCCATTTAAAATCTATTTAACTAACACATAGGTAATTTCTTTAACTAACATGTAGTTTAAAATGGCGCTCCTAAGTTAATAGGATGAGTTCTGATAACTAAGAAGAATAAAAATAGAAAAAATGGAACAATAAAGTAAATAAAGCATGTAAAAATTTGAATACGCTGATTGAGAAGAAAACTTTGACCGCGTGAGTTGGAAGAGCTGAACAGCAGCTTGGACTGGGAGTATTTACTCAGCATCATAAGAAACATTAGTACTACCAAAACATGCTGGGTTTGCTCATTATTTTTTTAAATGGATTTAGATGGATTACGTGGATTATCCACTTAAAACCATCAAGCCAATTGGTTTTATTTGGATGTCCATTAATGTCCATCTAAATTTTTTTAGTAATCCAAACCATTTAAGTGAGATGGATATGGATGGTTAAATGGATATGGATGGAAATTGCCACCTTTAGTTTTATTGTTTGGGCCAACTCGTAATCTTTCATGCTTAAATTTATTTTATGATTAAATATGGCATTTTGGGGTGATGTGTTTGCCTGAGCTGCTCACTTATGTGTATATGTATGTGTAAGCAATTTTTGAAGAGTATCCTCTGAATCCTGTCGCCTTGTAGGAATATGCTGAAATAATTGGGCTTTGGATTCTGAAGTTTGAGGTTCCCTGCCCCCTTAAATGGAATATTGTTATATTTGATTGCATCTTCTTGGGTTTCGCTGAAAGGTGGGTTATTGAAATAGTAAGTTCTACTTGGAGCTTTAGTTGTTTGTTAAAATGGGGGAAAAGGTCAGCGGATGCGTTTATGTATCCGTTGGTGGAAGTTCTGATCTATTCTGACATGCTCATGAGGAAATGTCTTTTGGTAACCAAAAAATTTTGCATATAATGTTTGGCAATGTTGTAAATGCATTAGCGTCAGATTATGTGCATTGATGTTGAGGTCGATTGTTTGTTAGAATTGGGCGAAAAGTTGGGGGATGTATGCATGTACGTATTGGTGGAACTTCTGCTCATGAGGAAATGTTCAACTAACCAAACCGTGTTGCATTTAGCACGTGGCAGTGTTGTAACTGCATTAGCGGCAAATCATGTGAATTGACTGTGACATCGTTTATCTTGATTCAAGGTGATTGTTTGTTTATGTATTTGGACTTATTGGCTATTTTGTTTTGAGTGTTTGCTTTTTGGACAGAGGGAGTACTTCAAACAAGGCAAGATTGAGCAGTTTCGCCAGATACTGGAAGAAGGATCTAGTCCTGGTATATATCCTTCATTTTACGTTATGGATTTATTGAAGAATATGATCTTATGTATTAACTCGTTAACATCTATTTCTCATGTGTTCACATAAAACCTTTTTTGGCACAGAAATTGATGAATATTATGCAGATGTGAGGTATGAGAGGATTGCGATCCTCAATGCTTTAGGTGCATATTATAGTTATCTTGGAAAAATCGAGACGAAGCAGAGAGAAAAGGAAGACCATTTTATTATGGCAACACAGTACTACAATAAAGCGTCAAGAATAGACATGCACGAGCCTTCTACCTGGATTGGAAAAGGTAAAATCCTTTTCGATTGGATCTTGTTATCCGTTGGATCATTTGGCATTTATAAGTGATTTTTTATATTTGCTTATATGCAATAACGTCTTTCCATGATCCCAGTGATTGGGAATTTTTGGTAAAATCTACTACTTTCAATTGAAGTGGAGGGCGGGTTTTGGTGAAAAAATTATTAATGTAAGACTGATGAAAGTGGTTCTTATTATTAATGTAAGACTTTTAGCAAAAGACCAATAGTAATAATTACAGATCTCATCTAATAGACTGGCAGGTGTGCAGTCCATTCAATGTTACCTTAGAAGAGGCACCGGATAAATGATCTTTAGCCCCTCCTGGCCGAAGAATATAGTCATGTCTGCTGTACATTATGCTTTTTTTTTTTTTTTTTACTTTGACTAATTCTGACTTCAGTCTGAGAGTGTTGTATTCCAGTATGTAACTGCATTAGTCAAGCAGAGACATTTGATCTGCGTAGAAGGATTTGGCAATGCTCCAGAAGCACTTTTTTGTTCGTTACCTATTTAGTACTTGAGATGTCATAATTTTCCTATTTCCTTCAAAAGCTCTAGAATTCATTTTCTGTTTGTATGGCCATTAAGGGGCTGTTTCCGAAGTTTTACTTAATCTGATGAGTACTTTTTCAGTTGCAAAGCTTGAAAATTAGGAGAATTTGCATTGATATGTGAGAGTCTATGGCTTGAGGCGGAGAGCTGAATACATGATTTTTTCCTAACAGTTGATTCCTCTGAGCTCTTTAAAGTTTGGTTTTCTGTGCAGTAAGGATTTTAAATATCTATTATTTAGACATCAGTGTGAAAATTAATTAAGGTGGGTTGATCTATGACCAAGCTCTTCAACTTTTTCCTTATGGGAGAAGTTTATAGATTGTGCTTTCATATCTCCAGCTGAAAGCTTGTCAAGATGGGATACTGTGGCCATCTTAGTGGCTTTCTATGTTGTTAATTGTCTGCCTTATTGCAGTTCAAAAGATGAAGAATAGAGTCAAACCTTAAGGAGATCTTGGTGGCCTTCTTTGTTGTTGATTGTCTGCCTTACTGCAGTTTAAAGATTAAGAATAGACCCAAACCTTGAGGAGACATAAATGCATTTAATCTCTGCCGTATTCGTAATCTGGATTCTCTTAGAATTCTAAAATCTGTTTGTGCTGCTTCTCTGCAGGCCAACTTTTACTGGCCAAGGGTGATGTAGAACAAGCATTCGCTGCCTTCAAGATTGTATTGGATGGAGATCGGGATAATGTTCCTGCGCTTCTGGGTCAGGTATTTCTTTCTCCACTTGGTCTCAAAGGTTTATGTATTGATTCTCTCATTGTGCATGCTTATAAGCATCCATATGCATCAGAATCATGAACTTTCAGATTGGGTGATCCACATGGATCAGATACATGAACTCTTGGAGTTAGTGACTGTATTTTGTTGCTGCATGTTAGAGCATCTAGGCAGTGGTGCAGCTTCTGATTTCTTTTGGTCAACTAGGAATTGATCTTATTATGGAGGAGTTTGTTTCTGCAAAATAACTATAGTTCTGCTGGTGAACCTTATGTTTTGATATCGTCTGACATTTGCGAGAGAAATGTATTGTTTTGTAGGAATGATTTCTTTTTCCTTGGTCTCTTCAGCTTGTGCCATATGCTGTTATCTTTTCATTTTTATTTTTGCTCTTTTCTCTCGGTTTTATATTTTCGCGTGGTGCTATGGTGGATATAGGGCTGCAGCTAATAAAATTTTGTCATCGAGGCAAATATTCATGTGTCTTTGTGGCAATGAACCAGCCTTTATATCTTGCAGGCATGTGTCCACTTCAGCCGAGGACGATATTCTGATTCATTGGAGTTATATAAGGTTTGTCAATTGCCACTTTATGATGTTTGCGTTACAACTTTACGGCTTCTGAATCAGGGACACAACTGGTGGTAGGTGGGGAATGTTGTAGCAGCTTGTTCTTCCAATTGAAATGTATTGTTCCCCAAAGAGGACTAATAAAGATTTTTTTTTCTTCTTGTGAAGAGGGCCTTGCAAGTTTTTCCTCAGTGCCCTGCTGCTGTAAGGCTTGGAATAGGTCTTTGTCGCTATAAATTAGGTCAAACGGAAAAGGCAAAGCAAGCATTCGAACGCGTTTTGCAGGCAAGTATGCAGAACATTTGTGCTGGAACAATTTACCATTGTATAGCTACATGCCCTGATAATGTTTTCCTGATATGACAGTTAGATCCAGAAAATGCTGAAGCTCTTGTTGCTCTTGGTATTTTGGATTTGCAAACTAAGGATGGTGAGTCTTGTCACTTAGTAGACTTTCAAATGTTCATAAGATATGTAATACTCTTGGATTTTATGCATAGCAGCTTGTAGATGCTTTTGGCAGGGGTAGATTTCCTGTCATAAATTACAGAACTGATGTAAATACTGTTTTTTGCTATTTATGTCGGAAAATCGCTTTTCCATCAACTGCTGCATTTGTGTACTAGATAAACATATTCTTTGTTTGTTGAAACATTGTCGTTTTAATTGCTAACTCTTTTTTTGACTGTATCTGTGCAGCTGCCAACAGTAGGTTGGGAATGGTGAAAATCCAAAGGGCATTTGAAATATATCCCTATTCTGCGATGTCACTGAATTATCTGGCAAATCATTTCTTCTTTACTGGTAAACATTCCACAGTCGAGAAACTGACAGAAACGGCACTTGCTGTGACTAATCATGGTCCAACTAAGTCACATTCTTATTACAATCTGGCGCGATCATACCACAGCAAGGTCTGTGAAATTGTTGCTGATGTCTTTTTAATTTTCTTATCCATTTGCAATGTTCAATTGTTTTCTGTATGAAACATATTGAAAAATAGTTGAGGGAAATGTCTATTTCCCCATCCAAATCAAATTTGTTCCTTATTCTCTGACTTTAAGCTACATACGCTGTCTTTAGACTGAAACACAAGACCTGGCTTCCAAACAGGCCCATAGTTTTAGGCCCATAGTTCTACGATAATACAAGACGGTAAATACATAAGTGGGTACCATCTTGTAAGACCTGTTTTAGACTGAACATATTTGCCAAGATACGCTTATAGTTTTGTCCTCATATGGAAGTGTGAGAATTATAGATAGTATCTCTGCCTTACGTGAGTTATTTTTTTGGGGAAATTGGTGTGTTACCCTACAATGCCCCTACAATTGCCTGCTGTCGCAGCTGTATAAATGCAATAAGTTTATATCTTTCTTCCAATTGTAATTGCTCTGTAGATCATATATCTATTATGGATCCAACATCTCTCGTCCAACAGATTCAAATGAGTCAAGAAGGGGTTTCTGACTTGTACAGGAAAACAACCATTTTGAGTGGATATATTATTCATTCACATCTATAGCATTGTTATGCATCTGAACTTGCATGGTTCTGATGCTTGTGAAAGATTTTGTTTCCTGTCTTTCTTTCTTCATCTGATCGTACATCTTTTATTCTTCCATTCCAGGGTGACTATGAAAAAGCTGGAATGTACTACATGGCTTCTGTGAAGGAGATTAATAAGCCTCATGAATTTGTGTTACCTTATTACGGTGTGTAGTTTTCCTGCACTATCTAATTTTATCAAAATTTGCTAACATTTTGTGTCCTAATGTCATGCCTCGTGGTGAGGGTGGGGTGGGAGGAGTTATGGGCTGAATAAAGCAGGAATTGTGAGGGATGATGCATACAGTGGGGTTCTTACCTGCTCTAACATGTCTGAACTTGCTTGTCATCTTATGGGTGTTCAAATGAGTGTTGCACTTGCATTAATGAGCCTAATGGAGGATGCTTTGTCATGCCATGTGAACATGCAGTTTGAGTTCCAAAAATCATGCATGCAATTTTAAAATGTTTGATGAATATATGCATTTGTCTTATTGATGCCTCTCTTGCAACTTTTTTTTTTCATTTCGAAAATTTGATGATATTATGTGCCTAATGATTTTGGCTCGTGACACTTTTACTTGTTAAACTAGGTTTGGGACAAGTTCAGCTGAAGTTGGGTGATCTTAAGAGTGCCCTGGCAAATTTTGAAAAGGTCCTGGAAGTTTACCCTGATAATTGTGAGGCGCTAAAAGTGAGTCAATGTAAATTAGCCCTGCAATTGCAGTTAGATGTGTTCTTCGTGTTTCTTCATTTGTTCTAATGGTCTCTGGCTTATCTTTGATGTAGGCTCTTGGGCACATTTATATCCAGCTTGGTCAAACTGAGAAGGCTTATGAATTTATCAAAAAGGCTTCTAAAATTGATCCTCGTGATCCTGAGGTTGTTATTGGGAAGTCTTGGTCAAATCATGCAGTTGTTCTTGTTATTTGGTGTTCTACATTATTGTCTGTGAGAAAAATCTGATGGAGCAACAAATTTTGAATTATTTTAGTGCACGTTACTTTTCCAGGTTTTATGCAAACACAAATTCTGTAGTTGCATGTTTCTTCGAGTATGTTGTCTAGGATATGGAAATTCATTATGGATTATGTAGTAGAGTACGCTCTTGTATGTTACTTGAGTGTTATGCTAGATACTCTTCGCCTGTCTACACTTGCCATTTTAAGTTTCCTCATTAGAATGTTAACAGACATTAGCTTGAAACAAAAATACATTTGATGTATGATGGGTATCAATCCAAAAAGAACAATATATGGTCCGTTTCAAGGAATGGATGACCCAAGCAATCAGAAATGATGCAAAAAGCTAAGTTTAGATGCCATCAATTTCTAGCAAGTGTGTGTTAACTGACAAAGTTGGCATTCTTTTCTTCTTGATTGATTCTCATGCGTGGCCATGTTAAGGATGACTCGTGCTTTTTCTTGACATGCTTTATCAATTTTTCTGAGAATCGGTAGAATATCCTCCTATTATTCTGCTTTGCCTGATGCATATTTACTGATAGATTGAGCACTTTGTATATGTTTACAGGCTTTTCTAGATCTGGGGGAGTTATTAATTTCCACTGATGCTGGTGCTGCTCTGGATGCGTTTAAAACTGTAAAGTTTTTTCGGCTTCTTTCAATTTTTAAACATGTCAATTGTTGCTTTTGTGAACTGGTATCAGAATGCCATGTCTTCTTGCCAGAATATAAGGCTAATAATATATACTTAGTGCAATAACACTATACGGTGCCAGCATCTTATCAAAACTCCAAAATGTAAATTTTTGAGACCTCTTGCGAGGACATGATAGAGTAAGAATTGTGTCTTTTCTTTTCTAGTCTTGTTTCTGGGTGATAGTTGCTTATAATTGCACATTCAAAATTTTCTTCTAAGGTTACAAAAATAATTAAAAAAATCAATTGTTACTTCTAAGATGCCAAAAACTGCAGATGCGGTTTACATTTTCAATTTCATTTGTATGTGAAGGGACACTGCTTGCTGCAGTTACTGGTGTTAATATGTTGGCGCATATATCCATAATTTAGTGATATTGAAAGTTTGTTAGATATTGTGTGTTGCATGTACTGCCTTCGTTTCCCTTTCACAAGTCAAATGAGGACCTGATTCGGAAGCATTTTCTTTCATTTCTGCACATAAGCCTTCGTAACTGAGAAGTATGGACATAAATTTCTCCAACACTCCCTCTAAAAGCCAAAAAAAAAAAAAACATATTATCCTTCTTTCTTTCCCACCTTTTTAGCAGTAGCCAAAATTAAAAAAACTTATTTTCCTTCTTTCTTTCCCACCCTTTTAGCAGTAGATGTGATTTCTAATATTTTCTTAAATGATCATTCTCACAGGCTCGTAACTATTTGAAAAGAGAGGGAAAGAAGAAGAGGCAGACGAGAAGAAAGGGGGAGAAGTGCCTGTAGAGCTTCAACATTGGTGTTCTACATTTTGAGAGGGGAGAATTTAAGGTTTGTTTTCCTTTGACAGTGTTATGGTTTTACTTAAATGCGAGAAGAAACACCTGCTTTGGATGCGGTAGCAGATTTCAATAATTGCATCCCAAGTACTTTTCTAAGAACTCAATTATCGTGTCTTATCAATTTCCAGCTTGCTGAACAAGCGTTCAAGGATGCTTTAGGCAATGGCATATGGCTTAGTTTTCTTGAAGCTAAGCCACAGCTTGTTTCCAAGAATCAAGAAGCAGCAGATACCAATACAAAAGCTTCAAACGTGAAGGAATACAAAATCCTCGCCATGAAGCAAAATCCAATAATCTCAAAAGTGCACAATACCCAATTGATGCCACTGCATCTGTACATCTATACAAAGACTTTAACTTGTTTGTTCGACTTGAAGGACAGGGTATTCCTGTTGAAGTTCCTTATAATAAAGTTTCAACAATATTCAACCTGGCTAGATTGTTGGAGCAGTTGCATTCCATTGAAACGGCCAGCATTTTGTACCGACTAATTCTATACAAGGTATGAACTCTTGCCAATTCAAGATTTGTGGAATAACTAAAAGGTGAATTTTATGCTTAAATTGTTTTTAGATGATAGGAAAAGGTTATACACCTAAGGCTTTCATTTAATGTATATCTGTAACTGTATATCTGTAACTTAAATGAATTAGTTGCAGCTAAGAATTCAACAGGGTGATATTAACCGCATAACAAATTTGGGTTTAAATACTCTTTTTACTTTCTCTCAATGTACTTGACATCATCATGAAAACTCAAGTGGATCATCAATGAATTGATTCTCACTCAAGTTTTTACTCTATGGGTAAGTCATCAATGTTGAAATTACCGATCTGTAGCACCCTCTTTCTGTTCTTTGATCAACTTTCATTGCTTAAAGCATCCTGTTGACAACTGTCAGGATGCCTTTGGTTTGTGCGTATAACATTCATTTCATTTCGTTGTATATACATGATTGATGTATCTATATAAGAATGACAGTATGGGCATTTGGTTACTCTGGGTGAAAGTTGCTTGTTATATGGAGGAATTTGAAAACCACGTCCATTGGTGATTATCCAGTGCTTATGTCGTAGAAAAGGAATATTCAAATATGATGAATGAAAGCTAGTAATCTTTACACAAATTAATCCCAATAAACCAACCTTTTAAAGATAAAGTGCCACTGTCTTCTCAAAATCAACTTTCAAAAGTTGCCTTGTGCAATATTCTATGATACAAGTGAAAATGAATCACTTCATTGAGATAAAGATGTAAAATAACATCTGAATGAAATTTTGTATTTGCATTTTGTCTCTGAAATACCCCTACGTTTGTGATTTCCATTAAGGATTCATTCCAGTTAAACAAACATGAACCCTAGATATATCAATGGATAAGTTGAAAGCTGTGGTATGAAATTAAACAAACAAAAGCTTGTACTTCATTTCTATGCTAGTGCATCTAGTTCTTTTTTCCCTTTGTCTTTGAGAAACATCGATGCTGCGTGTATTTGACTGTTTCTGAGCCCCATTGTTTCTTAAACTCATGTTAAATGTTTATGGTTGGACTCATATTTGGTCAAATTTCTTGTTGTGATTGATATCATTTTAGTGGATTATCCTTCATGGTTCTCCATTAACTCAAAATTATCTGCTTGCTCTGATTTCAAGTGTTATGCATTTGACACTCCCTAAATGTTCTTGATGAACTTTTAAATGACATTAATGATGCTTTTTAATCTGCTTGCATGACAATCAAGTGCTTTTTGTAGTCTTGAAGCGCTTCAACTGATTATCAAATGTCTGATGTATCTTTGAAGTTACAGATTACTCAGGTCTAACCTTCACCTTTTCATCCTTTTGATTCCATCCTATGGCATTATTTGCAGTACCCAGAATATGTAGATGCTTACCTGAGGCTTGCCGCTATTGCAAAAGCTCGAAATGATGTTCAAACTAGTACTGAACTGGTGGCTATTTTTGCTCTAGTGCACTGCTAATTTTTTTTTCCATATACAGTTGTATATTACTTTTAATGCTTTTGTTACAGATTGCAGATGCTCGCAAGGTGGATGAGAAGTGTCAAGATGCATTATTGATGCTCGGTGACCTTGAGCTCAAGAATGATGACTGGGTTAAGGCAAAAGAAACTTTCCGTGCAGCTAAGGACATGGCTAATGGAAATGATTCTTATGCTTCTCTTTGTCTGGTGCACATTTTTCTCAGAATTCATTTGTTCTTTCGGTGTTATATTGATTTCTTACTGGTAAAATGATATGCACCTCTAAACTTGTGCAACTTTCTGTTGACCTGCGTCCGCTTCGGACTTCAAACAGAATTGATCCATTATCTAAGTTTGTTATCCTAATGGTGAAGTTTCTCCTATCTTAAAGTATATACATATACATATACATATAGTATAGACATAAATATGTATGTGTGTGTGTGTGCATGTATGTATGCATGTAAGTATATTAGTCCTTAAAGTATCGTTTTCAGGCAGTTATGTACAAGGGCTCATGCTTTTTCTTGAATATTCAGGGCAATTGGAACTATTTTGCAGCAATTCGTTCAGAGAAAAGAGCACCTAAGTTGGAAGCTACCCACCTGGAGAAGGCTAAAGAACTTTACACAAAAGTATTATTCTGTGCCATATATTTTTATGTTCTATGGCAATTTCATGATCATAGCAATCTGCTTTGACTAGAGGATTGACACGTGTGATATCTTATGGGAGTTTCCTCGTCCTTCCTGTTTACATGTTACCTAATGTTTGCTTGTTAAGGGATCTTGAAATACATGATGACTATAATTTCATTCCGCAGGTTCTACTCCAGCATACTGGTAATCTATTTGCAGCTAATGGTGCTGGAGTTGTATTGGCAGAAAAAGGTCAATTTGATATTGCAAAGGAACTTTTCACCCAGGTCAGGCCAGCTTATTCTACACTTTTACCTTTTTGAAGCATGCTGTTTAGCTTTGTAAACTTATTAGCCTCTTCGAATTGTAATAGGTGCAAGAAGCTGCAAGTGGAAGTGTTTTTGTCCAGATGCCAGATGTGTGGATAAATCTTGCTCACGTCCACTTTGCTCAAGGAGACTTTGCATTGGCTGTGAAAATGGTTTATTTTTCATTTCACCTGCTTTTGGTTATTAGTTTCATGCTTTAATTGTCTTTATTGCATACACGTGAAACAATGCTTGTCTTTGCAGTATGAGAATTGCTTAAAGAAGTTTTACTATAACACAGACAGTCAAGTTCTTCTTTATTTAGCACGGACACATTATGAAGCTGAGCAGTGGCAAGACTGTAAAAAGACTTTATTAAGAGCTATTCATTTGGCACCTTCAAATTACACATTAAGGTTTGACATCGGTGTAGCACTGCAGAAGTTTTCTGCATCAACATTACAGAAGACAAAAAGGACTGTGGACGAGGTGCTCCTCTTCTCCATCCTTCAAATGTGTAGCTTTGTGTTGACATATAACTGTGTACCATTTCTCTTGATACTGCTTTGGCTAACTCCAGATGGTCTTCTTATCTTTATGCTTTGGTTGAAATGCATGCTAGGTCTACTTTCATAAAAAATGGGCTTGGCTATAAGAAGGTTCATGAGCTAACAAGTCCTGCTATAGTTTTAGAAGCATTGGGTTTTTTCCCTTAGATGATTTTGCTGCCATTGTATTGAATATCACCAGTCTTTGTTCTGAATTTTCTGTTGGATCGTGTCCTTTCAATGTCAAGCACAACCACCATTAACTATAGTATGTGCAACTAGAACAGACATGCTTTATATCTGCACGTATGTCACAGTTGGCATATTCACCGGTGCAAGTTATTTTCGTACTCCTCGAAGGAAACTCATTCACTGATGTTATAGGTACGGTCAACTGTCACTGAGCTTAAGAATGCAGTTCGCATATTCAGCCTGTTGTCTGCTGCTTCAAATCTCCACATTCATGGATTTGATGAGAAAAAGATTGAAACTCATGTTGAGTATTGCAAGCACTTACTTGAGGCTGCAAAAGTTCATTGTGAGGCAGCTGAACGTGAAGACCAGCAAAATAAGCAGCGAATAGAACTTGCTAAGCAGGTTAAGGAGGCTGAGGAAAACCGGAAAAGAGCCGAAGAGCAGAGAAAATCTCAAGTACTTGTTTGTTTATTTGTCTCTTTCTTGGTTATCATTATCAATGATTTACTAATGAAAGGTTTTAAAACAGTTGGAGAAAAGAAAACAAGAGGATGAACACAAACAAGTGATGCAACAAGAGGAGCATTTATTGCGCATAAAGGTAGTAATTACTTGCCTATCATCTCCCTCCATAATTTTTATGTTGATTTTCTTCCAATATATGTAGTTTGTATTCTGATTTAACGCTAAAGATTCTGGCTTAAGTTATCCATTAGTTTTCAATATCATCATAAATATGGTCCTTACTGGTATTGAAGCAACATGAAGTTCATATTTTTGAGCATTTTAGTCACACAAAAATGGAATGCTCTCCTTGGGAAGTGAGACACATAAGGATATTGGCATTCATTATTATCATAACATGCTTCTTTCCTAGTCAATTCCATGGATATTACTTGGAAATTTTCATCACAACTAACTTAAAGTAGTTTTTCTATGTTTTGGTTTTGCATCGCAAACGTTCTTTTTGGTATATAAGTTACAGAATATATTAATAGTAGCATCAGATATTAAGTATATGACTGGTAACTAAATGCTTATTAATGTTGCACTAACTGATTAGAGATTTATGCTTACTGACACATGTGAAAACATGATGAACTCAGTTTTCATGAAACCAATTAAGGCGGCCCAAACCAAGTTGGCAAGTGTTGGATTTTTGGCAGTGCCACACTTGGATTCCTTAGAAATTTATTCTTGTAGAATGGCTAATGCATGTATTAGTTATTGAAGTTTCAGAATTCTCAGGGCATGTATTTTTTTTTGTTTGTTAACCTTTAATTCTAAAGAATAGTTTCAAAAATGTGAAAATTAGGCAGCCTTTGAGCCTTCTCTGTCTCTTTGTCTTTACATGCGTCAATTATTTAGGTTAGGTTTATGAATTTAAAAGTTGATTTTTCCTCTAGGAGCAATGGAAGAACACTGCTCCGGCCTCTAAGCGAAAGGACAGGCCTCAGACTGAAGATGAGGAGGGTGGTGAGAGGAGGAGGAGAAAAGGAGGAAAAAGAAGAAAGAAGGAAAAGAAGTCACGGCATGGATCTGAAGAACCGTTAGCAGATGCTGATGATCAGGAAGAAATAGATGATGAAGATTCCAATGTAAACTTGAAAGAGCCTCATTATCAAGTTGATCACGTTGACCAAGCAGAAAATAATCCTCAGGATCTTCTTGCAGCAGCAGGTCTTGATGATTCTGATGCAGAGGATGATGCCGTAAGTCCTCCCTCCCTCCTCTCTCTCTTCTCTCTCTCGCTGTGTGTTTGCATAACATAAACTTGTACATAAAACAAACAAGCATGCAATTAAGCAGTTTTTGGTGGCATATGTTATTTTTTACCCCTCTTTGGCAGATTGGAGAATATTCTTCTCTAATTATCTCAAAAGTATTCTACATTGATTCTTTAACTCGTGACTTTATGACCAAGAACTGGGAGACTTGCCAGATTGATAAATGTAGCTTTATTTTATAGTATACCACTGCTACTAACATCTTTCCATTTAAACGCGATTGCTGCTTTGCTCTTTTGTGTGCTTATCACATCTGTCCACTGACATGTGATCTTGTTGTGTTGATTAATACTCAATTTCGTGATTGGAAGTCTTGTATGTCGAAAATGATGCTAAATTTTTTATGAAATCTGTTCCCCCTGTCACCACATCTAATGTAAAGACAGTCATAGACTTGTGTATCTTAGGTCTTCTCTTTTTGTGGTTTGATATCTTTTTCCTTCATAAAGGTTGCCCCTACATCTAATACAAACCGACAGAGGCAAGCATGGTCAGAGTCAGAGGAAGATGAATCATTCCAGATGCAGGCAGTGTCTGATCATGCTGTTGGGGTACCAGATAGTGATGCAGAAGCTGGAGGTCATGATGAAAGGCTGCATGGTGACGTTTCTGTTGATGATGAATAATGAGATCAACCCTTGCGTTAAAGTCTCTGTTTATCATGAAATCTGAAGACAAGGTTGGCGCGTCCTTTCATTTTCAGAACCAGGTAGAACTGATCTTTCTTTCTAATGCTTTGCGAGTCGGGTACCCTTGCAGATATAAGATGGCCTCTCAAAGCTTGTAATTTTGTTGTTCTGAAGGTCCCTATTCTTTAACATTGTTGATGAGCCATGATGTCTAAAGTTACTTGAGACTTCTTCTTATTTAGAAAACATAGTAACATATTGTAAATATGTGGGTTCATAGACTCTTTTTTTTTTTTTGTGCCCCTTTTTGGGTGTCTGTATGTCCTATTTTCTACAGAAACACGAGAATGGTACAAGCCAATGAGCAAGAAAATATGATGGCATGTAGTTCAGTAGTTAAAACTGTGAGATTGGTCCAGGTATCTTTCTAGTACCCCATGTTGCCATAGACTTTAGGCTTTTAGTCTTGCAATGCCGTTGATTAAGACAGGAACAGATCTCCAATGGTCAACCGACTGTGCTTGCCTATTTACCATAGCGAAATATGGTTTGTGGTGTAAAATGTGTTTTGTGGTCTTCTTGGTAGTCTGTTGCTGTTTGAGTATATTATAGGTATGGATAAATGTCTGCATAGATTATTCAGTGACACGCACATCTACACGTATGTTGTTGCTGTTTCAAAATTGTTTTGTTCTTGATGATGTCAATAATAGTTGAAGAGTGTACACATTTTGAAATATCAAGTTTTCACCTTTGTTCCCGTAATGGGAGATTTTCACCAGTACTCCTTTCCGATTGTCGGTGATCCATCGCTATCAACTGGGCCGGAGGTAGGTTAACTCATTAATAAGGAAAAGTTTTTTGAGTGATTGTTCATCATCCTCTTCTCCACTCCATTCCCAACTCTTCCCGAAGGTCCTCTTTTTTTTTTTTTTTTTTTTTACCCCCCGCCTCTCAAGTGTTATACTTGTATCAACGTGGTTAAATCAACGTAAAATTGGAGCGGGAGAAAAATAATGTAGTTCTTGGAGCCGGAATAAGTTAGTACTTGCCGGGCATTAAAGTTTCAGCATCGTCAAAACGATTCGAGCAATTAAGAATGATTCGCTGGTCGTTTGGAGCTTTAGATTCATCCATCTGATCAGGATAAATAAGCGTCACATCTTTGGCATGACAATTATGACGGGGTATACCGGCAGCCACAGACTTTGGCCTGTTTTTGTTTTCAACAGTAGGCAGGACGAGAGAGTATGACTCGGTTCCTCCGTTCTTGTCTCTATTCTGTCTCTCGGTGCGCTGGTTGGTTTTGAAATGTCGTATTCTTAGGAAGGTGCTCCTTCAGTTTTCAGCGTTTTCCACTGCCACACAAAAAGTAGGCTTATTACTCGACCTCTTCTCATTGCTTCCCAAAAGCCAACATGGGTGAGAGAGAGGGTGAAAAAAATAGGGGAGAATGAAATGGGTGTGAAATTGCTCTTTTGGCAGGGAGGATGCATCCCCTTTATAGGCCTAGCATCAGCCCAAAACTGAAAACCAAGTCATAATGCTAACTAAATGCTAGTTTTTTTTTTTTAAATTACATTTTGTACGAAGTGTAATAGTAGTTTGTGATGCTCTTGCCCCATAAAAGGATAGAAAGTTTATGTTTTCTTATCAATTAATTATGCTTTGTTGTTCTCGCTGGCTTTAGATTTTGTAAAATATGATTATGAAAGTGATTATAGAGAATAATTAGAATCAGTAAAAAGCTACTCTTTAGTTGATTATGTATTTTAACTTTTTTGATTATTAAAAGATAGACTAGTATATAATCTATATACAAAAGCAAACGAATATATTACAAAAATTAATTATTTAAAATCAAAATTTATAATCATATGAAATAATTAATCGAGAACAAGCTGCAAACTGATTTGAACTTGCTAACACGTCCCTTGCTTTTTCTGCTTGCTTTTGTCATATGGTATATCATTTTTATTTTTTTTTTGGAGTATGTTTCTTTTAAGAGTAAAACCGATCTTGAGGGTATGGAATTAGTCTTGTATAAGCGATGAATGAAAGTACTTAGAATCTAAGGGCCGTTTATTTAAGAAGGGAAGTTGGAGGATGACAACTTTTGAGTGATGAATCCTTCAAGTTGACCACAAATTAGACTCTGATCACAGTTTAATCAATGCAAGACAGAGAGAAGAAGGGAAACATAAAAAGAACAGAAAATAAGAGGGGCCCAAAAGTGTGAGGGAGATGCACAGTTAGGGGTCAGTTTATGGGTGATTGGGCAGACAGTGGCACTGTTGAGTCAGTCCGAAGGTGGTGGTGGTATCCGTAGCTGCTGAGTGCCTGAGCCTGCAAAGTGTACGGCAGAAAAATAGGTACTGAATGATTTATCGTGTGTGTGGGTGTGGGTGTGCGTATGCAAGCCTGCAAAAGAGTCTGAACTCTTGAAAGAAAGAACTTCATACTTCTCTCATTGACATAGAAGACGGATTCTTCATCATTCATGGAATAGTAGCAGAGAGAGCATCTTACATTTCAAAACTCTGTCCTTCCCACCTGCTTCAGCCATCAAGTATCTGACGCTTTCTCAGTTCTCAGACACCCCCTCCCTCCCTCCCTCCTCTTACAGTCAGTCTACAGACTGCCCTTTTGCCACAGTATTGTTATGTGACACAGAACACTGCTCAATTCGCTCCATTCTCCGTAATGTGTACATCCTACTACAAAATCCTATCAACCTGCTCTTCCAAGTAAAAAATCTATGTGGATTCCAATTTTAGCTACTACTGCTACTCTACTTATACACCTAACGAACGAGCTGATCTTTGATTTGGGCTGTGCAAAATAAAAAAAAAAAAAAAAATATGTTAGAATTGTCTGCATATCTGTGATGTAAACAAATAAATTCTAGTCAAATAATTGTTACTATCCAAACACACCAATGAATTTTACCCGTTAAAGATACGTTTTCTAGCATTATTATTGATTCATCTCAAGTTGCATTAGTATATGCCAAAGTGTTGGAGAAGATATATTGCAACACGCTATGCATATTCATCTCAAAATTCCATAAACCAAAGCAGTCAATTGTAATAATTAGATCCAGGCAGGCTTCAAAGTTCTTAAAAGAAAAGAAAAGAAAAGGCTTCAGAACACTTGCTTGAGTTTTTCAATTCATCCAGCCCCACACTAACATTCATTTGTTTTTTTACTCGTACCAGATGTCCCTCCCAATTGAAATTATACATCACACCTAAATGCTACGTACGTACTACTATTCCCAGATCACATGCAGTCGCTGTTCTTGTCCTATCGGAAAATACTTCTCCAGCCATAAAACCAAAAAATTCCTTTGTTATTAGACCCGTTTTGATTGCTATTTTTAGGAAATTTTCAAAAAAAAAAAAATATTTCTATAACGATTTGATGTATTTGAAATAAAAAAGTGATTAAAAATACATTCATAAAAAGTGTAAAAAATTTCCAATAGAAAACTATATAATCCCGATTTTATTAATCTGTTTAAAGAATAAGAAAAAGTACTCTGAGAAATTAATAAATATCTTATGGCACATATAATAAAACTACTTGAAGCCAATAAGATAGAAATGTACAAAATTTTCATTTCATACCACGACAAGTGACAATTAAAGAATCGAATCAAAGAACTAAATAAAATAGCCATATTTTTTAAGCTAGGGGGCCGGAAAAAATAGCAAGGTATTTTTCCCCCCCGGGAGCAATTCATAAAATTTTTTATGGACACCTCATCATGAAGAAGGACAAAAGTTCAGGCGGAGCACGAGCACTTGTCATGGGTCAATTTGGCGGCAACATAATTTTAGCGGTTGAAAAAAAAAATTGCTAATAGTTAGTTTTTGCGGACAGGATTCACATATTGAGGCGGATTTTGTCGTCGGTGCTGCACGTATTACTTTGTCCTAACTTGTACTACTACTATTAAATATTACTATATAAACTTTAAACTGTTAAAACAAAACGATAGCTTAATTAAAATCTTTTGATAAAACTCATAAGTATTTATTTACATCTTAATATATAGAATCTAGAAACCAGAGAACTGTCATTGTCTATAAACTATAATCATATTTAGTTCATTGTGTAATCATGCAAAGGATATATAGTTCACTCCATTAGGCACAGTGAAGCCAAAGTCCTTGAATCGCCACTCTTTCCAAAACAAAAAAAAAAAAGAAGAGAATTTTTAAATGATCAAAGTCAAAATATATATCTTCTAAGATGCCTAATACTTGCTAGTACAATGTAGCTGCCACTTTTTGTTTTCCAATTTATAGTCCGCCATCTCCCATTAAACTTCACTATCTCTATCTGGATACAACTTGGATTGCCATTTTTTTTTTTTTTTTCAAAAATTTTTACGTTTTTCATGAACTCATTTTTCAATCACCATTTTATTATACATAGATTAATTTTTTTTACAAAAATCCCAGTAAATAGCAATCCAAACGAACTCTTAGTTACATCGAACTCTTCCACAATGACCAATTTTGTTCGAGATCCATTTTAACTTAATTTGTTAGCAATAATTTGAACATACCACATTTACTCAAGTCTTGATCTGGATTTATTTAAGTATTTGACCATTCATGAAATTTAAAACTTTGAGCTAAACATTCAATGTCAAGAAATTTTATCAGCTGATCAATTTGATTCTCCAAAATATGCCCAATTTGAATATTCTCTTGCAAGGGATCTCAAGCAATATGAAGCATCTTTACTCTCCTTCTTCCTCTCCATTAATGGAGTAGAAGGGATTTGATTCTTGACCATTAAAACGGCTTCTTTTCTTGTGTAGAATTACGCACCGACTTGATATCTGCCGACTATTCCAACGCGTATAAATGAGACACTACACAGGTTTGGTTTTCCTTCACCTCCATTTAAGGCACTGCTCATCCTACAAAACCTTGCACCGTTTTCTTTGGCTGAGGGCATCAACATAAAAGCTAAAATCAATTTAATACAGCCAAAGACTCAAAGAAGACAGCCCCCTCCAATTTGCCAGAAAAGGGTTAGTTGCAATTTGAACACCTGAACTATATATGTATGGTAGGTACCCTGCAGTATTGATAGGTAGAGCTTTGCTCAAATTGATTAGAAGTCCATGAATTTTGATAGCAATTTTTGAATGGAAAAAATGTAGATACCTACCCCTAACCGAATAAGAGCAGTTCAGCGGGTCAAGGGAACTAAAGTATTTTCACTTGGAAAAAGTTCTTTGAATTTCAATTACTACTTTGAGTAACATGTCAAAAATTGACAAATAGTGTATAAAGTGGTAAGACTAGAGATCAGGAGCCTTGCAAGTTTTAGTTCAGATCAATTTGCCCGTAAAATATAAACGAGTGGCAGAGATACCATGTAAATAAATAGATAGATGTTGATAGGGTGTAATAAATTGAAGAACCATTTCATCCTCAACCGGAACTTGTGAGGCCGCGATCATAAAACTGGTAGGTTAGGGGGCAAATATGCACGGACAAATGTTCAGAAGGGCATGTCGCGACTAAACCCTTAAAACCACACCTAGCAAGATCGCAAAAGCCAAATGTGGGCACTGGGGTCCCCTATTACCACTATTTTGCTACAGTAACCAAAAGCTCTTCCAGAGACCGGAGCTGAGCTAGTAGTGTCTGAAAGCAACAGCATGGAAAAGCAGCAGATTATTGAGTCCACCTGCGAATGAGACATAAAAGCATGTGGCAACACCCCAGACGCTTGCATACCAAAATCAAACATCCAGACATGCAATACTTGAAGAAAATTTTACATGTTTAAAAGAAGTATGGGGGAGATGCAGAATAGAGATAACTACTAATACTAGATTGCAATACTCATATTACTTGGGAATAAAAGTTCAGTACAAAGTTGCAAATTGAAAAAGTAACAGTTCTCAGACCTCAACTACATATCTGTGTACAAAAAGGTGGAACATATAATTCACCAACCCCACCACCATTTTAAGTACTTTTTGGCCTTTTGATTCAGAAATCCACTATTCAGACCTCATTTTTTCTGCAAAACCAAAGTGCAGATAAGAGGGGGTCAAAAGAGAATGTGGTCATCAAGAAATAGATGGTACTAATACTACCATTACTTGCCAGCGCAGGAGCGGTCAGTACTCCAAAAGTAATACTACTACTTACTAAAAGTGGTACTACTGCTAATTAAAGAAACTGCAGCTAGCTAGCATGGTAAGTTCAATTATTTCATGATGTACCATTTCGGGTCATGAAGAAGTCATGATGTGAAGAAGCGTTTGGCATGGAAATTGAAAGCTGGATTTTTGACAGTTTATGATCATGATGATCATTATTATCAAGCCAGCATGAATCTTTGTTATCCTTGGGAGGCCATTCATCGAAGAAACGGTGCATTACTCTCTTGTTCTGATGGTCATCTCTATCCCCTAATCCATAGTATTGCTGCTGGCTAGCTTGCTTTTGTTGTCTAGAAGTAGTGTTGTAGTCGTTGTCATGATTAAGGCTTTGAAGTTGCAAGTAAGAAGAGTGGCCTCCGTTGCTAACTGAGTAAGAGGACCTCTGCTTCAGATGGCTGCCTGAAGGCGAACCCATCGTCAGAGGTGCTAGTTGCCAAGAAGAAGTTCCATCATGATCTACTACTGATGAACCGCCTGAAAGATTCCTCACTGTCCCTGAAGCTTCACAGAAAAATGCATGCTCATCCACTTCCTCTTTCCCTCCTTGACCGTAGCTGCTAATCGTTATATGTTTTTGTTTTGATTTCAAAAAGATAGCAGCATTTATTTAGTCAAGAACATTATTATTAAATATGAAGTAATAGAGTGCTTGTTCAAAGAAAACTAGGATTAAATACCTGTAGCCTTTGCTTGCTTGAGAATAAGGGCCAGAACCTAGAAAATAGTTGGTGGAGTTTTCTTCAGATGAAATACGATCATGACTAGTCCTGGAGGTCTAACGCAGGATGAATGGGGATACAGCAAAGGATGATGAAGAGCATAGCCGGGTTGGTTGATACCAGTGCCATGGTTGTGGTGGTGGTGGTGGTGGTGGGGTTGGGATTCGGAAGAAGTAGCTAATGAGGTGAGACAAGAGAAAGAGTGATGAGAGGTGGGACTAGAGGGTGATGGGGGTGGTTCTTGGAAATTGATGTAATGGGTATTGCTGTTGGTGGAGTGGCTGTGGATGATGTGTTGTTATTTGAGATAGAAGATGGTGATATTATTGGGGGTGGTGGGATTGGTGTGGTGATAAGTTGTTGTTCCACAGGCTTTCTTGAACGGTTTCTGCCTCTGTGCATGTGCCTCTCGCAGTACTTGGAATCGGGGTAGGCTTCTTTCGAGCACCTCCACTTCTTCCCGTCTGTTCTGCGGCACCTTCCTGGCTCTGGGTCTATTTTCCTCCCGAAACCCATCTGGAAACATGAGTTCCAACCCACTGCACGAAGAAGTTATTATGAAACCCGACAAGTTATGAAACCAAGAAAATGGAAAAGTTTTTAACTTTTTTTTTGGTTGTTATTTATTAATTGTTTCTTACGTACGTTGGGCTGGTGGAAGAGGAGTTTGGAGGAGAGGGAAGAATCCAAGCTTCTTCTGACCGTGTAAAGAAGATCAGGAGGAACGGGCGTCCCAGAAACCATGTACTTGAAGATGAGAGCTTGGTGTTCAAGTTCTTGCCACTGGGATGCAGTGAAAGGGAACCTGCTGCTGCTCCTTGCACTAGTTGTAGCACTCATCATTAAAACAAGCAAGACAGGAGAAAATCAAGAAAACTACAACACTCTTTCCTATTCCTTGGCTTCAAGACTTGAGGAAGAAAACTACTACCTCTGTATTTTATTTAGTCTCTCTCTTTAGAGTTAGAGGCGCTTGGGAAGGAAAGAGGGTGTAGGGTTGGCGTATTTGGGTCATAGTTGTTGTAGTAGTACCTGGGTAGTAGTGAGGGGAGTGAGAGGAGGGCGTAGTAGGTATATTTATTTCAGGGACCATTCGGGCTGCAGAATCTTCTGTACATGGATAAAACTAATGGTTCTGATTAATATTTTGCTGTTGCTGCCACACCTCTCACCACGTTCCTCTCTATCTATGACACATACACACACTCTCACACAGTATTACTACTAACTGGTGCAGCAGCAGCAGCAGCAGCAGCAGTGTCCCTCTCTCTCTCTCTCTCTCTCCTGAACGTGTACTGTGCACATATTATGACTGCACCTCTCTGTTGCATCTGCTGCTACTGCTGCAACTATGCTGCCTTTATGGCAGCTCTTGTCTCTGACAACTATACGGAAATCCATAAACTAAAGAAGCGGTCCTTGGTTTCTTTTTTTTTTCTTTTTTTTCCTCTCTTTTGTCGTGGCTGGGGGTCTTCTCCTCTTGTTAATAATATAATGACTTTTAATGTTGAGTGGTAAAAGGAAAAGGGCTCTCAAGAGTTGCAAGTAGTAATCCTGCTAAGGATGATGGCCGGCCCAACTAAAAGGTGAAAACCAAATGGTTATGGTTATCATGGTAATTGTAATACTACTAGGAGTAAGTAGTATCAAAAATAAAATAAAATTATGAATTATTTTTGTTTTGTTTTTTGGTGTAAGCTTTATAAGAGTTGGTGACTGAAGAACACAACAGTAGTGTGGCTGGATCATGAGAAGATTGTACGGGTTTTTGAAATGTTACCGCTGCCTCCTCTCTGCCCTCTCTTCTTGCTTTAACTTTTCTTCTCCGTCTCTGTTACTTTACCTGTACCATACTCCCCCCCCCTCCACTATTACTATTCCTACTACAGTATTTCCTATTGACCTTTCTCAGTACACAGATAGATAGATAGATGGGTGATTCTTTTGATCCACCTGCTGAAAGTTTGCATTCCTGCTGCACTATTTACACAGCAACATAGCAGAGTGGCAAGTGACTAGGTCAAAGTACATGCAAGTAATAATTTGTAGTAGGATTGGATTTGGATTTTACACATCTGATCTCAGACACAAATATCATTTGCTTGTTCAAGTGATTTTCTTTTTTGTTGCTTTGGCTTTTGGTGCGTTGTTTGTTTGATACTACTATTATAGTAGTAGTATTTGATTAAATCCATTTTTAGATTTTCTTTTCTTTTCTTTTCTCTCCAGAGCATATCTTCTCTCCAGGGCATCTATCTGGCAATGACTGGCCTATTCTAGCATATGCTCACCCTATTCATTCAGTACTAAGAGTTTGATTCTAGTAATAACTTTTTGCCAACTTTTCTTCCCTCAAAAACTATACGACAAATTGTTACAATTTGGCAATTTGGCAAGTAGTAGTAGTAGTAGACTAGTAGTATTGTCTCACAAGTCCCCTCCCCTCCGTGGCCATGTTTCTTGTGCTGCACAAAGGGGTTAGTTAAAAATTTTCTTTACGATTGATTACTTACCTTTTTTACGGTCACTTTTTAACTTACCAGAATGGTACTAGTAACTACTCCTATTGTCACTCTTGCAATCTAATACCTTTCCTCTGAATGCATCTTACTTTTCGTCGCATTAAAGTTTTCGTTAACTCGAGACAACAATGCAAGAATCTCAGGCTTCTTTTTTTTTTTTCTAGTTTTGGCTTACGAGCAGCAGCGTTGCTCCAAAAGACCCGAGCCAGAGACTCCTACTCTACAAGAGCATATGTTCCTTAACCTCAAAGTACACCCAAATGTATTCCATTTTATTGGCTATCATCCTCAGATCCATCATCAACCTTGTATACAAAAAGTCTCTGCTGCGACTCAGGATTGTTCCCATAATTCAAGGGCCAAATGTGGTTCCAGGGCTAAGTCTACTGTCTACTCCACATTGCAGGCCCCAACTTGCACTGGTAAGGTAAAGGCCAGAAGTTGCCGAGGACTCAGCAGATGCATTTCCTCCGTAAAATTTCCTTGTCGAATTGCCTTAAAGCATTAGTTGGCAAAGTACACCGCATTCATAAATGCCACAACACTCCAAAAACTGATTTCTATCGTGGCCATGGCTGTTCTGACCAGCACCCTCTGACTCACTGCCACTCCCCTCTCAGAGCCCTGAGGCAGGCTTCCTCTCTTACGTATTGGTGTGTGAAAGAAAAGCACCTGCTGCAACCATGCTGTGCTCCTCAGATAATGGTTAAAAATGCTGTTGCATTGGTTCTCTTTCGGCACCTGCCTCTGCACTGGAATCATTTGTACCATTTCTGGGTCCTCTTCCCGTACCAGCAAGAAAGTTTTTGACCGATCTTGCTAAATAAATAAAGCGCAAGCTAAACATCAAGCAGCTACCCCACTTTTAGCTCAGCAGATGGTATAAATATAATCAATCAGCTCCCCGATTCTTCCGAAAAAGAAAAAAATGGCAGAGCAATATATATAGTCTCAATCATATCTTGCTAAGACACAGAATTGTCTAAGCATGACAATCAAGTCTGCTATCCTTCTGTGAGAAATATCACTTGCAGAAATTTATTGAGAGAAATTTGTACTCCAGATATCAACAGATTTCCAGTCGCGCATGCACAAATCTAACCTTCTCAGAAGATAGCAGCGATGTACAAGCAAACAAATACTACTATTTATCCTGGCATCTGCTAGTAATTCCCTTGTATCGACTGTCAAGGTCTCGGGTGTCCTTGTGAACTTTAGATGAATATTGGCACCCCACCCATACCACAAAAAGTTTTTGACTGATCAATGAACAGGCACGGAGTTTATTTGAGTAGTTGTCATTACGAGGAAAAAAAAAATTTTGCTCCTGTGGCGTCATTGATTATAGAGATCTACCATCCTATTTCTCGGGAAACACGAGTACACCTGTTGTATCTGAGGGTCAGGGAAACGAAAAAGGGCAGAAGGAGCCGATCAGCAAGGTCAAAGGTTCTCGCTCACAAACTTGAGCACCTTACTGCAAGACATCTAGGACCATCAATATTCAGTCTGTAGGACCAAGAAACCTGCCATTTTAGCTCTCATGCAAACCACGTCGCATATCAATGCAAAAGTTAAACCAACAGCTACTAATCTGCTATGTTAAACTTCTCACAGGGTGATCAAAATAAGATGTTTCAGCAAGTGGAACATGTCCGTCCTCTCAAAAGTTGCCCATCAGCATGCAGGCTGATAAAGCTCTTTGGCTATGCTACACTTAAAAATACTAGAAACGGCATCCGATTAGGATCAGAAAGGATGCCCGAAAGCCTTTTCTAGGTTAACAAAAATGGGACAGGAGCAAATCTATTCAGAAGCTGATGTCGACCTGCAGATAATGATGGTTATAGTTTGAGTCTCATTGCTAATAGCAACTGACAAACAACAAAATCATACGCAATCAAGGACATACCTTACAGGTGGAAGCCATAAACTACTTGCAGAATAACTTGAGCTTTCTGAGAAACTGCAAGGCCCTCAGCATACTTCTTTTCCTTTGCACTTCCCACATAACAAAATGGACATCCAAGGACTAATTTATGACAAAAATCTATATATATCTCTCTTTTTTTTTTTTGGGGAAAATTATATGAATAATCTGAAGGAGCACACAAACTAAATAACGACCAAACTAAATCATAAGATGCAACTATTTGACGATTTCTTCCCCCAAGCAAACTCACACCTGAATCGGAAAAGCACACATCAAGCAAGGGGAAAATGAGCATGGAAGAATATATCTGATGTAAGCACATCATAAATCCTGTACACAACAGCTCTCTCATTGAACCATTATAATTTAGAAAGCGCCCAAATTCACCTGAAATGAGATATGGTGTCCCATGTCCCCAAAAAACAGGTTGAATTTAGATGCAAGTAACAAGCTCACAACAGAGAGAAAAAAAAATAAACCACAGAAAAAACTCGTATATACAAACTGAAAATAAACAAAATTTTATATTAAATTAAAGTTTAATAACTAAGAGATACAGAACTTGCGTTCTGCTGACTATAGCATTTTACAGTGCCAGGTTAAATAGTCATGGCAATCTACTCCTTCTGGAAGAAGAGAGTACAAAATCTGTATGAACTGAGAATAGCTGTGTATCCACAAAGAGCTGCAAAACATACAGAAAATAACTCATCAGTATGTTCACAGTGGCCAACAGAAGTGCACCTAAATAAACAAGGAAGAAAATAAGGAGTAAAAAAATACATTTCAATTTATGAGCATCTCCTTGAAATGCCATTCATATCTCAAGAAAAGGAACCTACCTTCATAAACGATCGGTCTCGACTAGGAAAAGATTCTATGAAACTCTCCTTCAGAAGTAAAGAGACCTGATGGCAAAATAAAACTAAGTTACAGCTGATGATGCTGCATCAAATAATTCAAAATGACGGATGCAACTTTAAGACCAAGTGGATATGCTGTTTCAGATGGATTGACAAGGACCTAGAAGTAATCCATAGATCAGATTTGAAAACTAATTTTTTAAATTTGCAATTCTGGAGCATACCAGTTGCTGACGATTTGTCAAGCCAAAATCTTTTCTTGCCATACCATGCATACTAGGATAATCAAAGACTTCAAGCGAATGGTAACCGACAATAATGGTCACATTACTGTTGTAATCCCAGACGTAGTACACAGTATTGCAGTCACGCTCACAGCACTAACATTTGATGAAATATTTTCTAGATGTCTTCCAAAATTCTAAGGCAGCATTTCATTAATCTTAAAACTAGATGTAGCAGCAGTCTGACTTGCAGTTATATTGTTGAACAGTCAGGAAGAATAAGCATCAACGCCAAATA